GAGAGGATAGACACATTTTGCCCGCTGGCTTGGTTTGGACACGGATGACAAGCCAGAAATGCGCCGACAATTTGAGGCGTCTGATATAGCTCGGCTGTCTTTGCAATTTGTTAAAATTTTGGTAGCTGGCAAATGTCCGTCGAGTGATTACTGGGATCTTTCGCCGAGTAACCGCGAGTCATTGGTGTTTACCAAACGACTGAAGTCGGTGTCATTGTCCTTTTTTGAACAGATTCAAGCCAACCACCGTTGGATCTTTGTTTTCGACTTCAAGAGTGAGGCAACCGTGCCTTGGAAGCTAGCGGTGACTACTGCTGCCGACGTACTTCTGGTCTGCAGACTTGATTCACGTTATAGGGAGGCTGATATTGCCCGTTTTTTGATTGAGCGTGGGGTACCTTTCCGTACCCTGGTGTGGAAAAGTATGATGCCTAAGCCCCCCCCAAGTATGCCCGTCATCTATCAGCTCCCTTCTCGTGGCCCCAATTATGTTTTCAGCAAGCGCGACTTTGATAGCTATATTCACCTCTGAGAGATTCTGGTCCGTCAACCACGTATCCGTGCAGCTCTTCTTCGAGGGGGGATGCAATGGCGGTTAGTCATCAGCTTTATGCATGCTGACAAAATATTGGGTGGTCCTGTGGGTGGTGGTCCCATGCGAGAAGTTCATCACCCTTCTGGTGAGACGCTTGTCGACGATGACCTAACAGATTTGGAACTGGATTTGTTATGCGGGACATATATTTGTGACACAGGTATGTAATTATACATTGAGCGAATCAGCAACTGAAAACTCTTCTTCTTTACAGGGCAAGGTCCCGTCATAGCATACAAATCTTGGTTCCCACCAGCTTTTTTCTTTGAGAAGAAAGATTGCGCGGAGAACTATGGCCGGTGGACTGATTACCAGGAAGCCAGATATAGGCGTCGTTTGTTGGATATTGAGCAACACGGGGCTCAACCAGAGCCTGTGTCAAGATGGCGGGACCAGCTCAGGGGTTTAAAAGAGACGCGCTTGCTCAATCAAAACATGGAAAAGCTGGCACTTAAGTTCTTGAATGAACAATGTCCTCACATGGCACACCTCACTTGCGAATGGGTCCCAAAAGAGAGATGACACTTGAATATGATTGACATACTGTATTCTCCCTCGATCGCGCAACCGATTTGTTTTCTTGGACTTTATCTTTGATTCCAAGGTAGTCTAGATCACGTGAAGGCAATCAACTCAGACGATTGTTACAATTGTACGTTTCCAAAATTAAACGCAAAAGGTGTGTGAGATGAAAGCAGTTCGATTGCATACTCATATGGGTTGCAAAGCGTCTCTCAATGTATTCAGCTCATGCTAGTTCCTGGAGTTCTGCCCGTCCCAAAAACTGCATTTGCAAGTGTTGTTCGCACTGTACCATCTACAATTCATCAAAAGGGGTTTACAAAGGGGGGGGGGGGTCACTTGTTGAGTTGCAGTACTCGTGATCGCCATAGTCGAGATGATCGGAGGCTTGAGAGTGCTGGTCTCACCAATGGTGTTGACGCTCAACATGCTTCTACCCCTGGCCAACAGATTCCAACTGGGATTCAACTAGTCAGAGAGGAGTTGGATCTTCGTTGCCAGCTCCCCATCTCTAGCCCTATGACTCCTTCACTTTCGCCAATGATCCCCTCACTCACGGAGACTATATCTC